CACTTCTCAATCTGGGTGGTCTTCAATATCTACATTCTTCATTGCTTCTCTTTGTGTGAACTATTCCGTGGATTTAGTACATCACATTACTCTTATAGCGTCAAACCCTTGTTTTAAGTTTCTAATTATTATTTATTACATTGGCTGCAAATCCTTAAAGATCTTTGTTTTTGTTAGTGTTTGTTCTTCAAAACTAAATACAAGCGTAATCCACAAAATTGTTTAGCTTCTACATATCTTATTTTTAATATTTTTATAGAGCTTTGTACCACGATTGTTTATTAGGGAACATTGAAAAAACAACAACGTCTAAGCGGTAGAAGTTATAGCAGCTATTTCGGAGATCACCACATCTCCTCATCAGACTTCTTTTTCCTAGACTTCAGCAGGTATCGAATCAGCGTAATCGATGTTCAAAGTCAGAAGCGTTAACAACTGAGCTGTTATTCAACCAACTACTATCAAGTGCAGCTGATTTGCCGCTATTTAAACTCGACAGTGTGGTTGTTGTTGTCAATTCTATACATCCATTTGCTTATTTGCTTTTTTGTATAGTTTCAGGCAGGCTCTTCCTAAACTATGTATTTGTCAATGTTATTGTGGCTTGTTAACATTTTATTTTTAATATTTTTATTGAGCTTTGTACCACGATTGTTTATTAGGAAAAATTGAAAAAGCAACAAAGTCTAAGCGGTAGAAGTTATAGCACTATTTCGGAGATCACCACATCTCCTCATCAGACTTCTTTTTTCTAGACTTCAGCAGGGATCGAACCTGCGAATTCGATGTTCAAAGTCAGAAGCGTTAACCACTGAGCTATGTACATCCCGTAAACTCTTGTTGCTAATTCATTTTCCTTATTCAACCAACTACTATCAAGTGCAGCTGATTTGCCGCTATTTAAACTCGACAGTGTGGTTGTTGTTGTCAATTCTATACATCCATTTGCTTATTTGCTTTATTGTATAGTTTCAGGCAGGCTCTTCCCAAACTATGTATTTGTCAATGTTTATTAGGAAAAATTGAAAAAGCAACAAAGTCTAGGCGGTAGAAGTTATAGCAGCTATTTCGGAGATCACCACATCTCCTCATCAGACTTCTTTGATAGATTATAGATTTGTATTGGTTTGGTTGTGCTCTTATTACTTCACCTCGTATTATCATGATAAAAACACATGATTCAATAACACAAGGTTATGTAATTTGTGACAGCTAAAATTTTACACTCCTTTATATAGATTTGTATTTTGGAAGTAGGAGAAAGGGGAAGAATGTGATCGCCTTTTGCGCAAACGGTAGTAGAAAGGTACTAAGAAAGTGCGCAAAGTATACAATTAGATTTAATGTGTATTATTAATTATATGTGAATTTGCAATATATTTGGTGTTTTAATGGAAATACTAATCAATACGTAAAAATATAGATTTCTAATTTAAGTTATTCGTCATTTCCTGGAACAAATCTAGAATACTGACCGTTCAGCTATACAAAAACAAAAAATGCAGATCTAAAGAACTTTTTACGCTCATTTCAACCATGTAAAAATTATTTAGCGCAAGTAAAATATAAAGCCTTTTAGAAGGTTACAATTAAATTCTTTGATTTTTTTTATATATTAATATCTTATGAACCACATAACCGAATAAAAAACTAATAACGTCACCATAAAGAAAATCGATTTATCTTTCAGCTGATATACATAATTGAAATTGTTTTTTATATATTTAAACCAAAAACCACTAAAAAACGAACGTATGTTGTTTTTTCATGAAATAACCTTTTTTGAAAAAAACTGCAGGTTTAATGGTAAATAAATTTATATTATTTGGAAAGTGCAAGCTATTATCTTTAACTTGACATACATATTTTATCATGATCTACATTGGGTTTTAAGAATTAAGTCATAATAAAAAATATAAGTAAACCAAGCAAATAAACCTCTTATATCTTCTTTGTTTATTACCTGCGCCAAATAAATTTGGTATCGTTGAAATCAGCGTAAAAAGTCTATCAGTCGGCACTTTTGGTTATTTTATAGCTAAACAGTCGCTATTCTAGACTTGTTCCAGAAATTTACGCAAACGAAGGTGATGCCAACGAATATTTAGTATGAAGAATTTTTGGTTTTACTACTAATACTAAACTGTACTATACTAAAACTGTAGAGTGAGCAACATTCTGCACAAGTAAAGGAGCCGATTTTATGTGTGGGAGCGAGAAGAATGTTTTATTACAAAACCTTTCTATTATTGAATCATGATAAAAACATAACAAGGTAAAACGATGTTTCCACGACAAGTGATTCGCTCTCCCATTCGTAATTCGTTCTCTCATTCGTGATTGGCGCCCTAATTACGAACCGAATCACGTAATTCGCAATACAACATTTTGAGAGCGAACCACTTCATTCGTAGGTGATTCAGATCCAATCACCATGCGAATCAAGAACAAATCGTTGTCTGCTCTAATTTTTATCGATAACGGCTGTCAAAACACATAGACCACACACATCCCCACCAGCACAAACATTGAAAAAATAGCTAGATTCGTTAAAACTATTGATTTAGCTAATTAACCACTACAAATTTTTTCTCCATCGTTGAAATGCACAATAAACAACAAATTAAACAATAAACAAAAGCAAAGAACAAGAAGCAGAGTTACAAAGTGAATCAAGAACGTGTCGTGTAAACAGATTGATTCGCCGTTCGTAATTGAGAGAGCGAACCACGTCATTCAGTGGTCGTGGAAACGCCGTTTTAAACCATTGAGGGGCAGTCTGACGTTTGATAGTATTATAATTTACAAATTCAAAACACAAACTCACACACACATTCCCATTTTCAATCACAAACAACAAAAATTGTGAACAATTTAATTTTTTTTTTAATTTTATATCATTTTAAAATGCTTGCAAAAGTCAGAAAAAATTCATGGAAAAGAATTGAGAGAATGAATTTACCTTGTAATGTTTTTATCATGGGTATTATCCCACCATGGTCCAATACTAACAATAGAAGTGTTTTCTCGGGAAATAATCGGGATCCGAAAATGAAATTTGCCCGCAAATGCAGCAACAACGATATAATCCTGATAGAGATCTGGTTCAATTTACGATCCGCACTGGTTGTTTTGTTTCACCGATAATTTGCAGCACGGTGATTTTTATACCCGAGCGCACTTGTGCACAAGGGTATATTAATTTTGTTCACATAACGGTTGTTTGTAACAGCCAAACAGTGTTGCCGCGCATAATTTTTAGTGGTAGCCAAATTCCTTTAAAAAAAGGGCTAAAAAAGAGCAAAAAAAATCGTTGTGGCTAAAAATGGTAGCTAAAATTTTTTACTTACATATACATATATAAGTATATACGTAAACATTTTCCATAAGTAATGGTATATAAAAACAATGAACTCTGGAAAAAAGCTAATATTTTATCCAACCAAAAACCTTTTTGTATAAAAGGGGAAATATACGACACCAGCTTGGTGGTTCCATCAAGTGATTGTACCATCAGGCTTGAAGCATATAACTTACCAGCATGCTGATACAATATTTATTTCTTTAAAAATGAGGTTGAGAAATCGTCGAAATGATTAGAGCCGAAATTTCATAATTTTTCTAGCATTTTGTTAAGCATTGTTTTTTTTTGTAATTCACAACTGCAATATCGTGAACGTAATCTTCCACAAACACGGCTTTGACTCATATAGGGCAAGAAATTTCCGCCAAAATACTTTTCACTTAGAAAATTGAGCTAATTTCACCACTCACGACACCAGTATGCTGGTACAATCACACCATAAGAACATACACGGTCAAACGACTTGATGGGTCGTTTAACAAATTTGGCATATTAAGGGCCGTAAACTTATCTATTTTAAACTATAGTTAAATCGTTAACAGATAAGTTAACAGCCCCACACTTTTACAGTATGAATGGATGAAAGCGTAAGGAGCATACGATACATATATGTATATATATCAGTCTTTCTTAGTTTAAAAATTCATCTCTTACATGACTGCAAAAAAAAAAACAAATTAAGCATATACAACGTTTTCATGCCAAGTATGAATAAATTCTAAAAACGGCTAAAAAAAGGGCTAGGGGCAATTTTAAATTTATGTGGCCAAAAATGTATGTGGTAGCTAAATTTAGCCACCAAAGGGCTAAAACGGCAACACTGCTTACAACAAAACAAAGTAAATCAAAGTTTGGAACCCATTAAAGACTCGTAGGCTTGGAATGTAGTCTACTACACTGCACATTCTTAGTTTAGGTTGTGGTATTTCAAGGTTGCCTGTGTGTTAATTTTTTCTTTGTGTACCTAAAACATGTAAGGATGCATTGTACGCTGCGCTATTTCGACTACATACAAAGTATGTGTTAAAAAGAATCACGAATAACAAATCATAGCTTAAGTAGTGTTTGCATTGTTCAACTTTGCGTTCAACTCTACGCAGGGTTGCACGAAAAAAAGTTGAATAGCTAAATGTTGGCTGGCGACCAACTTTGTTGAAAGCGATTAGTTGAAAGGCCGTTCAACCAAAAGTTGATTGGAAAGAAGAAAAAAAAACTATGCAAACGCCTTTTTATGGCGAATATTTTGATATTTTTAGCCATTAAACTTTTTTTCCGTGCAACCCTGCGTTGAGTTCAATGCAAATGTTGAACGCAAACTTGAGCAATGCAAACACTGCTTTACACACGCACACACACACATGTATTTTTTTGTGTAGGTATATAGGCAATCTTGATATAACATAACAAATGTATATATGCATCTGTATACATATTTTCTGGCCTGTTAACGAAGTGGTTAGTATTTATAGTTTTGTGTTTATAAGGAGTATTTTAGTTTGGGGAAAAACGTCTATTATACATGTATGTTGTATGTATGCACAACAGGCAAATTTTAAACGTATATTTAAAATTTGGCAAAAAATGCATATTACTATCTGTTATTTCTGGTTTTTTGTATTGTTTCGTTGTTTTTCAGTTAATGCGATGATACAAAATGCCCACATATTGAGATTTCACAACTTGAATGTAGGTTTGATGTTGAATATGAATGGCAGTCTGACCAAAACATCGGTCAGTCAAAACTGGTGAAACTTTCTACACTTTTAACTTGTGCTTGGAAACTACAAAGCAAAAAATTTTCATGGAAAAATTAGCCGAAAAAACAACAAAAAAACAAGTAAGAGCAGCGCTGTCTTCGGCTATGCCGAAGGCTTCATACCTTTCATGAACATCTGCAAATTTTACTTTGACAGATTACTACTTTTGAATACATCTGCATACATCGATAGAGGAGTTACATACTTATATAAAAAATCGCATCTAAACAATCAGAGGTATGGAAGATATACTTTATAT